CTTCCTGGTCCACCTGTAGGGGCTGCTAGGCTAGCAACTACCTTTTCTGTGATGAGCATGCATCTCTAGAATATTCTCACAGGGAAATTCATTCACTCCTCCTGCCTCCCCTCTCAGACTGGCATTTGCGAGGGCCCTAAAGACTTTTTCATTCATGTTGGATTTTGTATGATTTACGGCTCTATATATTCATACCTGTTATATCTGCCACTGCCACTACAATTTTAAAGTTGTTTTATTTGCTGGTGAATTGCTTTATTCATTTGTTTGCTCTTCTCATTGTTTTTGTGCAAATTATTATGTTTATTTTGGACCATCATAAACTGCCTTCAGAGGACAATTTATCCAGAAAGACAGTTTTGAAATCCATGTCAATAAGTACAGTCATACCTCGTGTTACGTTTGCTTCACGTTGCGTCTTTTCAGGTTACAAACGCAGCAAATCCCAGAAGTGTTTACTTCCGGGTTCAGCCTGCGATCTGCGTGCTTCACACATGCGCAGAAATGCTCTATCGCGTTTCACGCATGCGCATTAGCGGCGCTCTACTTACGGACTTTTGGGGGTGTGAATGGCACCCTGAAACGGATCACGTTCATAAGCAGCGGTACCACTGTAATATGTGAACATCTGGGAATGATGTTGGATCAGACAAAATCCTGTTTCCCACAGTGGTGAAAGATGCTTCTAGAAGGCCACAAGGAGGCAAGAGGGCAAGATTTGGGGAGTTGTTCCTCCCATCAACTGGTACTTAAGGACATACTGACTCTGAGCCTGGAGGTTGCATATAACTAATAGTATTGATACAGATGTTTCATCTATGGATTTGCTAAACCCCATTCTAAAGCCATCTGTGTTAGTAGCCATCACATCATCTTGTGGCAGCAAATTGATTATATGATGGTGTGAGGTACTTCATTTTGTCTGTCCTGAATATTCTGTCAATCAGTTTAATTGGATGACCTGAGTTCTAGTATTATGAGAGAAAGAGAAAAGAATGGATGCAGCAGGGGAGTGACAGTTGCTTTCTGTATCGTAACTGTTTTGCCATCTGCTCACTGGTTTCAGGAAAAGGCGATTCAGAAGAACTGCATGGGTGCAAATCTTTACATGTTATTCGGCTGGCGAAGCCATTGTAACCATGCCAATGCATGTATCTGTAAAGGGGAATCTGTGTCTCGCTTGGTAGTCAGGCAGCACCAAGGCTTCCAATTAAAATATAGTAACAGCTGTGCTTTTCTATACTAAATGGGATATTTATGCTGGTGATTTCCCGTCTTGATGCAACTTTAAGAATTCCTAAAGAGCCATATGCATCATTTTAACACAGAAGAAAGCAATTGCAGAGAAAATACTGGCAAACCCTTGAGAGAAAGATTAGGGTGGGTGTTTAGATTTGCTTAATTTATGTTTTTAAATTTTTAAATTGGTCTCTTTCAAGCTACAAATCTCTTAACTTTTTTTTTCCTTTTCTTTTTTGGTCTCCTATTCCTTTCTATTCCTTAGTTTGGGAAAGCTGCTTATCATAGATCAGAAGAGCACTCCAAAGGTTTACTGATGTATTTAATGCTCTTAGGATTCACTTACTCTAATCACAAACCTTAGATGATGTGGACAGTGCTGCATAATTACAACAGACAATACTTGAGACTATCAGAATGAATAAGATTATCAATGGATATTAACTATAATGGTTTCAGAGAACATTTGGTTTGAGTACTAGTTGAGTTATAAAAGAGGCTCAAACTATGAGACACTAGAAAATATCAAGGGAAACTAAATTTCTTTGTAATTTTGTGGTGCAAATACGGCCTTTAAAGCATTCAGAAAACATTTAGAACCAAGAATCTATTTCTATTTGGTCTGAGCCATTAAAAGTTCTTTATTACCCAAGCTTGCTTAATGGCACCTAGGTTGCATTCAAACATGAGATTATTGCATTAGTTTTACTGGTTATAATGCTAGTGCTTCTTTCTCAATTTCAAACACTCCTTTTCCACTACAGTACCTGTTGCATTACAGAACTGTGGTTTATTTTTGCTAATAAACCACCATGTCACACTAAATTTTAAATAATGGAAAGAACTGTATGCTGGGATACCTCCTCAAATTTCTCTTGCAATTTTGACAATGTTCTTAAATTATTCTTTCCCCCCCTCAGTTTAACCAATTCTACTGTATCTTCATTTTGTCTACAGTATACTGAAACCCAAAGATTAATGTTTGCCATATCTGAGGTACAAACAAACCTAAACTAAAATAAGTTGTGCCTAGGTAGTGTGGTGGAATGAAATCAGGCGAGGGGTGGCGAAGCTTAATTCAGGATAATTCCACCACAACAATTCCAATCAGTAAGCGCTGTATGTCTTTGGAAAGAGCAGCTGCTGATTACAGTCAGTTGTATTTCAAAAACAATAATGATCAGATGCAGCAGATTTAACACCAACATTTTCAGCTAATAATTTACTAAAGAGGCTATTATTTATGGATGTACTGACACTGCATGCTTTATTTCAAACCATCAATAACTTACACTACATTTCGCTGCCTAGTATTTATGACTACCAAAAAGCTGCATCCATTTGGTTTCCTCTGCATAGAATTTTAATCTGACTGTGCTAGTTATTAATTTACACTGTTTCTGGGTTTTTGCTTCAATTATGCTTATTATTATTTTATTATGCTTGTACACCACTTCAGGTGCCACTTTTAATGGCAGAAAATGGGGCATAACAGTTAGGAAATAAGATACCCAAAGAATTCACAACACATTGTTGAACTTCTCAGCAGATCATAACCTTTTGGGAGGAGATGGCAGGGAGAAGTTTATTGAAATATAACATAATGTAATGATATCCCATAAAAACAAAGCATTATCAGATTCAGGTTTCCAAAATTCCATTTATTCAGAAGGGTTCATACAATGTTATAGTCTTTATTGTAACCTTTGATTGATGTACACTTCCACCATAACCACAACTATCCTTTGAAACCAAGTGTTTGGGAAACACAGTAGTGTATAGAATCTTACCATGCACCTTAACATAAGAAAGAGATATTTATTCAGGCAAGTAACAGCAAAGGCTCAGCAGCACACCAAGGGTCCATTAGTCATTATTTCAAAGCCAAGGCATGAGATTCAGAACTGGACAGAAGCAATGAAGATGTCTCATCCATTGGCATGGCTCTCCCACCCAGCTTTTAACAACAGGGTATGACAAGTTCTCTTGCAAGACTCCCTTGCCTTATGGAAATTCCATGTGTGCAGATGCACACTTTGTCTGATCCCACCTAAAAAGATAGCACCTGGATCTTGGGAACAAGAGCCTCTGCCCCTCTGACTCCAGTTCAGCCACCTCTGTCTCCTGCTCAGCTACCCGCACCAACTGGCTGCAGTCTTCTCCCTCCAAAATGAGGCTCTGAGCTATGTGGGCAGTGCATCAGGGAGAACCAGCAGGTCAGTTTCCCCCTCTGGGCACCCTGGAGTCGGAAGGGGAGGAACCGCAGTTCTCCATCCCTGGGTACCAGCCTTCAACCACCACCACTTCACCTTCCTCCTACTTCTTCTCAACTGTCTGAGGCTGCCAAGCCAAACCCTTACAGAGCCAAGGGGCCCAGGAAACTTTCAAGAAAGGCTACCCATTTCCCATACACATGACTGGTGAGGTTTTTCTTGACATTAGGAGGAGAAAGAACCAAGACAAATTAGGACAACTTTGGCCATGCAATCCTGAATGTTATTTTTTAGGGGGAGGGAGAAAGCTTTATCCTGTAGCACGTGGAAGTCCAAAGTAGCCAGTGAAGGACATGGAAGGTCAAAGGAGGCAACAAAGGCCAAATATGGCAGATTTCCCCTTGACAGTGCTTGTGCCTGAGTGCTTTGTTTTCTTGCTCCTCCACAAAGTAATTACAGTTCCTCCAACACAAGGTCGTTGAAAATGGGTATCTGTGCATTAATCTTACTTATGAGTGGGTTTGTTGCATCCTTTTTTGTAGCCTTATCAGACATAAGCAGCAACTATGCATATAATAAGCACATAAATAAGAATGAGCTTCACAACATTACCGCTGAAAGATCATCACAAAAAAGTCATAATAGTGTTATTGCAAAATGCAACAGCAAGCAGCTAATACAGAAACAACCAATAAACGCTACTTGTGTACTCTGAGAATTTCTAACAGTATACATAAAAAATATACCTTTCCCAACAACCAGTTCCAGTGTGGACAACTTTCAGCAGGGGAAAACCAAAGACAACTCTCATAGCTGTCTGTTCAGTGCATGCATTGATTATAAAGCTAAAAAATAAATTTTGTCATTAGAGCATGTACCATCAATTCGCTTAATGTCATTGTGTCTGTTCTGCACAATTCCACATTCCATTTCTACATTGCATTAAGAGCAGGACAGTTTACATTATCTAAATGGAGGGAAGCATTGAACAGAGAAACAGTGCCACCTAATGGCTACTCACTCCATGAATAAGTCAACAACTGATTCAGGAATGTTTCAGGAATGACCAGTTTTGGTCCAACTTCCACATCATACTTCTTCCTGAAATGGAGCAATGCCAACATCTACATCAAAGCAGATCAAGTATTGCGTTCCACACTAAGAGGAATCTGCTTAGGAGGCAACATATCTAAATCTTTAATCCAACCAATTCAACATATTTTTCTACCATCTTTCACTGTGGTCTTATTATTCATATAATTATCATTATTAATGCTGCATCACTGCAGGCTGCTTACATTTGCATTTCTTATTCACAAGTATGCATTGCCACATATACTGGCATTGCGCTTTCAAATGCATGATGATAAACGCTTTGAAGATCTGGAATTCAACAGTAATAATTGAATTTGTTACTCATGCAACGAATCTGTCGTGTTCTTGTCTGCAGCCATAACTGCGTAACAGCATTTCACATGAAAACCTTTGAAGAACATTAATGGACCAAAGAAGAATGCAGATATATTGAAGTTTAGTTTAGTTACTTACACCAGCGAAACTATGTCTCCACGTTGCACTTCATAATTTCTAATACTCCAGTGGTTTAAAAGAACTACATCAGATTCCTGTCTTCCTCCAGGATTCAAAGAAGGCTGAGAAGAAGATAAAAAGAGACAGAGAGAGATGAGAGTTCTGTTGTATGAAAAGCAAAATTCAATCAACTAAGATTAATATGTATAGTCCATGGAATATATTATCTATAAGGAGGACCACCACCCCCGATCATCTCAGACTGCATTTTAAGATAATGTTCATTTATTTTAAAGAACACCTGGGCTACTGATGCAACCCAGTTAATAAACTTACACATGCATCTGCCTGTCATTCCTTTAAAATGGAATTTCCCAACATATCACTCTATTTCAACCCCATCAAGCTGCTCTATAAGCTCAGGCTACAAAAGAGAGTTTTGTTGCTTCACAGGGAAAACTGACAGGAAGGAAGCTGAGAAGTAACTTCTGTGCCACAGATACATCTCTCAATATCACAAAATTCACCCTTAAGGTCACGGGGAATGTTACTGCTGACCAAAGTGAAATCAAGTATAGAGAATGGAATATGCAATGAGATGTATATTGATAACATTATGCAAAGGTTGTTGAAACACCCATTATACGAAAGGGTTTCAGATGTTCTATATGATAGGTTTTGTTGATCTATGACTAACACAAAACCAATTGCAAGAAGGTGTGCTTCCATAGCAAAATGCAGGGGAGTGGGTAGACTATGTGCTTACATAAACAACTCATCAGTATGAAAATAGTGAATACCCCCATGGTAAAAATGATTTATGACTTGTTAAGAAATGAAAGAGCAGTTTCATTTTGCCCTGACAATGACAAAAATAAGACACAACAAATGAATACAGGAAACCATGAGATTAAAAATACTGTTCCTAATCTGAAGGAAGTGTTCCCAGTCCAACAAATAACATTTCTATACTGAAAGTGTATTCCACTTTGCTGCTCATTAATGAGTTTCAAAAACAGAAACAAAAACATCTTCCTACAAAGCAAACTGGGATATTTTTTTCTCCATAGCATTAGTCTAATGCAGGAAATAAATAGCAGTAGAGGTTATTGTCGGGTATTTGTTAGGAGTCCAATATGGTGAAGGCTGTTTCCTCAACAGAAACAGCCATCTCCAAAAATTTCAGAGGCAGAGTTTTCAAAAATGCTTGGTTTGTGTGTGCACACATAAAGACATGAAGTGCATGAGACCCAATGAGGACGCATATGGAAATGCGGATTTATTGTTTAATGTTATTTTGGACGATTCGTGGAATGACTGAAGGAAGTCAAGTTCTTTTCTTTAAGTGAATAGATATGAGTTTTGATACAGTTTGTTCTGTGCCTTGATTTCGGTAAACCAATAAAAATTATGCATGACAAAAGAAAAGGGGTACATTTGTTTCAACCAAGGCCCCTACAAGATAGAATTCCCTGCTGTCAATTAGACCTATTAGGAGTTATTCCAGAAGATTTAAAAGTAGCACAAGCTAACACATAAGTGGGCAATCTGTGGGCTACCTGTGGCTCTCAGGGTTTCTTCCCCAGCAGGGGTAAACTTTGGTCTTTCAAATTTCAGCAGTGCTGTGCAAGTCCAAAATTCAGCTCTCCCCCCCACCTTGTTCTGTTCAATTTACAATGCCACCATTGTGACGCCCTGCAATGTCTTCCCAGTGCAGCGGAAACAGTTGTGCTACCCTAAATCCATCTCTGCTCCCCAGTGGCCCTCTGCCCACTTTTCCAGACTGAGGTCAGCAATGTAGAGATGAGGAAGCAGGAAAGAAAGTACAGAGAGTTGAAGATGCTGCAAGAGTCACACTCCCCCCCCCCAAAAAAAATCCTCCTTCATGTACTTTTCCAGGCTGGAATTGATGACTAAGATGAGATCAGGTGTCCTGGACAGAGGCAGAGTTTAAAAAATGCTTGGTTCCTATACGTATAAGTTCTTATAAGTACAGTTTCATAATTCTGTCTACACTGATTCTAGCTGTCTAGGAGAGCAACCTCTCCATATGAAAATTTCCCCCCCTCTATTAGTTCTGGGAGCAGAGCAGGTGAGAATGTCCACAGCAAGAGGCCTGGGTTGTTCCTGCCATACAGCTCTTTCCTAAGACAGGTGATAATTTGCATTAGTGGAGATCCGAATAGCTATCATGTGGCCCTGTCACCATCCTCCTTCAAAAAGAAACACATCTGGCCATGCACCAGCTCCATATCTCAAATCTTGATGGAGAACTGATCAGATTGTGGGCAGGAAGAAGATGTGCAAATGGTGTTGTCCGGGAAAATACACAGACCTAAATCAGTTGTACAGATTATTAAAAAAAGGAATGTAGCCAAATTAAAATGCAGCATCCATCATTGGAACAAGTGAATGATACAGGGAGAGATGATCTACCCAGTGAACCAAACATTTCAATATTCAGTAGATTACTTACTGATTTAATAAGACACTACCAGTGTACCACAATTGCTTTTTTTTTTATTTGGCTCCCATGTAACGATACACACTGAGAGTAATTAAGTAATCAGGCGTAACATGCAATTTTGTCAATAGTGATGTTTATTCATATTCTCCTTCATTTCAGCAGCTATAGGCCATAAAATCTAAACAACGTTTAATTATGCTCTTCACTTGCAGTATTAGCTTCTTCTGCTGATGCTACTGATCTTGTGTTTGATTAACAGGTTTTTTTAAAAAATTAAAAAAACAGAGAAAGCAAAGGGTTGTATCAGTGGAGTAATTGTACCCCTTGAACTACCTCTGTTCATGCAATGGAACTCCCCATCTCTCCTCTTGCCACACTCCATCCAAATCTGCTCTGGAGGGTTGTGGGGAAACCCAGGTCAGATTAGGAGGAGGAGCAGGAATGCGTAAGGGGAGAGAGGGAAAGCTTTGTTGCCCAAGTTGAAGTCATTCCACAAGCACAATTACTTTGTTCAATACAACACAAAGGACTGACTTTCTCATGTTTTCTACCTACAGAGCTCAAATGATAAGCTCCAGCTTCCCAGTTAGGATTTCTAACCAAGTATAATAAATGTGTTTTTAACAAGCCAACAGAGTCTTATTTGTGTCTTTCAGTCGAAAGGAGTCTCTGTCAAATATGTACCAAAGTTATCGTGATCTCCTTATAGCTTGATAAAAAACTGAGTTTAATCAATTCCTGCGGCTGTAACCAGCTGAGATCAAACTGTGTACAGTGGTACCTTGGGTTAAGAACTTAATTCATTCTGGAGGTCCGTTCTTAACCTGAAACTGTTCTTAACCTGCGGTACCACTTTAGCTAATGCGGCCTCCCGCTGCCGCTGCACAATTTCTGTTCTCATCCTGAAGCCAACTTCTTAACCTGAGGTACTATTTCTGGGATAGCGGAGTCTGTAACCTGAAGCGTCTGTAACCTGAGGTACCACTGTATTTTACTTCCAGTTTCCCCAGATGTTAAAGCTGGTGGCTGCCATCTCCTGCCCCCCATTTCTTCTGGAACAAGACTGCATTGTGACATAGCATCATTCCAATGGCTTTTTTTATTGTAAATGGAAGAAGAAGAGAGAAGTGCCACTGCTATAGCCCCCACCCCCCATTCACCTCCCCACTAAAATGCTTATCCTTATATTTCATCAACTGTTAAAAGGGGACATTTCAGTTCAGCCCTACTAACTAACTAATGTACTGCTATTTTGTGCATTTTCAGGGTTCCCCCCTGATATGGATCTGCCTGCCTGATTGGCAGTGGTAAGCTGGGACTAGAAATCAATAAAAATGATGATCCGCTGTCCCTTTTCTGATCCCCTTTCTTTTCACACTCAACATATGATGGAATAAAACAGCCACACAATCTTCAAGCCAGATGCATGAAAATAATAATAAATTTTATATATATATATATATATATATATATATATATATATATATATATGTTTTCGTAGATTTTCACGGGTACAGGAATGCAGGTTTTGGTGTCCTCGGGTGTCTTCCCGTGTAAAAGTTGGGGTGTCTAGGCGACGTTTCGACGAGGTCTCACTCGTCATCTTCAGGCTGGTGCTTTCGGCTTCTTGTTACTGGAACAGAGCAGGGATCCTGAGACATACCAGGAGGGGCGGTCCTAGGTACGAGGATCCTAGGCCATATAGGGCTTAAAAGGTTAAAACCATCACCTTAAACCTGATCCTGTACTCCAATGGGAGTCAGTGCAGCTGGTATAGCACCAGGTGAATGTGATCCCGCGGCAGACCCCGAAAGGAGCCTTGTCATGGCATTCTGCACCTGCTGGAGTTTCTGGGTCAGTCTCAAGGGCAGCCCCACGTAGAGTGAGTTACAATAATCAAGCCTGGAGGTGACCGTCGTGTGGATCACAGTGGCTAGGTCAGGGCGAGAGAGCTAAGGAGCCAACTGCTTAGCTTGGCAGAGATGAAAAAATGCCACCTTTGTTATGGCTGGATAGAAAGGGAGGTGTCGAAGATTACACCCAAACTCTTAACCCACGGTGCTGGCACTAATTGCGCCCCCGCAAGAGATGGGAGTTGGCCCCCCAATCCCATATTGTCCCAACCCAGCCAAAGGAACTCTGTCTTCAAAGGATTTAACTTCAACCGGCTCCCACGTAACCATCCAGCCACAGCTTCCAAACATCTGATCAGTGTATCTGGGGCCAAGTCAGGATGGCCGTCCATCAACAGATAGAGTTGGGTGTCATCAGCATACTGATGGCAGCCCAAACCAAACCTCCCGACAAGCTGGGCGAGGGGGCGCATAAAGATGTTGAAAAGCATCGGGGAGAGTATCACACCCTGCGGCACTCCACACACACCAAGGAGTGGCGCGACAACAGTCCCCCCCCCAAGCGCCACCCTCTGTCCCCAACCAGAGAGAAACGAGTAGAGCCATTGAAGGACTGTGCACTGGATCCCCCCACTGGCGAGGCAGTGGTCCAGAAGTTCAGGTCTAAAAGAATCAGCAGCCCCGTCCCGCCTCGATCCAGCTGCCTGCGGAGATAATCTGTTAGGGCAACCAGGGCCATCTTGGTCCTATGATAGGAGGGGCTCCTAATGGATGGATCATAATCTGGGTCGCTGTTGGGAAT